AATAAACTGTTTTTGACTACTTAATAAACTACAAGCCTAGTGCTGCGTTTTAGTATTACAAATACTTATATCGTCGCTATAAAGATATATATATATATATTTAGGAAGAAGAAAGGAAAATTAGGTGTATGATTAAAATTAATTATTGGCCTTCATTTTCATGACTTTTTTCGTGATAGAAGACAAAAAACAAATTGAAGTTGAATAAATCAATCAGAGAGAAAACCAGTTTTGGTTGAATTTAATGTGTGGGACAGTTCTTGATTGATCTCACATTGCCTAGGCCCTCTCTATCTACCAAAAAGAAGATCCTGTTGATGCTAAAAGGTAGGTTTGCAATCTGAATTTATTTGGTTTGGTTCGTAGAGGTTGTTGATGGTAACCGAAACGACCTAATTCAGATTTTCATTTTCAGTTGCAACTTAGCATGCTACTGTAGTTTATCTGCATGAAACCAACTTAAACTTGGTTAATTATAAACAGAATCACATATTTAATTATAAACAGAATCAGCATGTTGTTTATAGAGAAGATATATCGGATCCTTATATATGTTTTAGCATTCGGATTGGGTTTAGTGGAGTAACTCAACCCCCTAAAACGCCAAAACCAAAATTTAAGAACGCCATAACCAAATTGAGACCTCAGAAACTCAGACGAAACCAAACCCAAAATGATCATTTGGTCCGAATCTTGAGCACTCGATAAATGAAGCTACATCCCTACTAAAAGGTCACTAGATTAGGGCCCTCCCTCTCACAACCAACGAATTGGGCTTCAAATTAATGAAGCTGGTGCTCGATTGGCCAACTATAATTAATTCTATACCACATTTAGCAAAAATACTTACCTATAACGGGGATAACATTGTTTTGCTATTCCCGGCCAGTAACACAATGACACGTGGAAAAGTTATCCTACGTGTCATTGAGTTATTGGAAGGGGATAACAAAAAGTGATATCCCCGTTACAGAGAGTTTCTCTCCACATTTAGAGCATGATTGAATAGTAAAAAGTCATGTCATAATAAAAAGAGTGCTGCTATTTTCACTCATGTCCTATTTCCCCACTCACCATATAAATTTGAATAAACACAAACTTATCTTTCCACCCACCATTATCATAAAATAGCCTTTAATTGTATTTCCATATTTGCTATTACAATAAAAAAAATTCTATAAAAAATTTCTTCAATTAGCCTATCCCCACCCCTAATTTATGAAGAACACATGGAGAGAAAGATGTTAATTTCATTTTGTTTGGTGGGTTGGGTATGAAGATGGGTGCGGATTTTGAAACAAAAACAAATATATGGGTGTGCGTGTAGTCATTTTATAAAGGGGTAATTTGTCTTTAAAATTTTAAAGATAAGGTGAATGAGAAAATAAGACAGATGAGTGAAAATAGCAGCACTTAAGCGACACAATAAAACCATTTTCTTTATGCATTATTCTCTTTGGATAGTAAACGCACATTAAGTGGCCTAAAAGTCTAACTTGGCAATCGCCCAAAATTTGACAATGATTCGGAAGTAATAATTCAATCCGATGTTACCCAATACCCTATATTTAATGCATGGTACAGAAATTGTTGGCGAGTATGAAGTTATGTCATGCATACATCTTTTTTATAAGAATATTTTTAAGAAATATCACCTGGATTTATATCTTAGTTTTAATTGGTCACTTTAAAGAAAAATGTAAGAGAAATGTAACCTTAATTTTTCAAAATCCATGATTTGTCATCTGACTTTAACACATTTCAATTTTCCATCCATTTTTAAGGGTATTTTAGTTTTTCCATTTTCAATGGTATTTTTTTTAAGAAATATCACATGGATTTATATCTTAGTTTTAATTGGTCACTTTAAAGAAAAATGTAAGAGAAATGTAACCTTAATTTTTCAAAATCCATTATTTGTCATCTGACTTTAACACATTTCAATTTTCCATCCATTTTTAAGGGTATTTTAGTTTTTCCATTTTCAATGGTATTTTAAAAATGGAAAATTCATTATAAAAAAATTGTATATCTTTTAAACATTTAAAATTGAAAAAACAAATTCTCACATTCCGTCATCCCTTGCGCACCACCGGTGGCTCCAACCAACCTCGTCCACCTTGAAATCCATTCTCCCTTCCCTCTTTCCCTTCCTCTTTCTCTCTCTAGCATGGAACACCTACCTTCCACAGACAAATTCTCTCAACCCACCAAACAAGGGTGGAACCATGAATTTATATAGGGTTGGGTTAAATTTATTTTTTTCTCTAGCTTTTTCAATATTATAATAGATTCTTCAATTGGTCTAGAGAAATTAGAAACCAAACAAGTTCATTCTTGGCTTTGTTGAATATCAAAGAGAGAGAGAGAGGGCGGGATCTTGTGCGATGTGTTTTGGGGACGGGTGGGTTTAGTACCGTTGATTATAATGGCAATGGAAAAAGTAATTATGCCCAAAAAGGGAAGAAAAAGATTGGAGCTCCATATAATTTTCTTTTGTGAAGATTATAGCTAATATTGTTTTAGTGAAAAGAGTTTGGAGAAATAAGAACCTAATAACCTACAGTACTAAGCCGGCAGTATAGGTTGGTCATACCAGGCAGGCTCAACTGACAGGACCAAATTTGTCATAAATCAAACATGCAAAGGGTGTTTGACATGTCTCAATGAACATTCATCAAGTTTGACGAGACTTCTTATTCAAATGTCACGGCTCCAATACATACAAATATAAAATTTTAAAAATAAATAAAAGTCACATCTTCTAGACCAAGTCTTCAAATTGGTCACCAAGCCGAAGAGAAATATAATATCTCAATTGGTCAAACACTCGGAGAGCCCAACATTTTGAACTGAGAAAAAGTCTTCCTTAAATATGGGTTCTCATTTACAAGCATATAAACTCATAAGCATCGAACACTCCAAAGCTAAGCATCTTGGTCATTTGGTATCATCACAATACATTCAATTCAAAGCACAATACTTGTTTCTCTTCCTGGCTTTACAAAATGCAAAGGAGCTCTCACCACCACAAACATAACATTGGAGGAAGGCTACAGACTCTCAGTGTACAAAGCAAGACAAAGGGAACAAATCGTGGTCTTAGGCGCACTTGTATGGTCTCCTCATCATCCCCTAGGGCTCGAGTGCAGTCATGCACCTGCACGAATCGTCCCGGGTTGAATCGCTGTAGCCGGCACGGGTATGCAGTGCCGGGGGCTGAGAAGTGGAGGAGGAACTATGCAAACAAGGAGGTCTTAAGGAGGGCGTTGACATCTACACCAAACCGAAGCTTAAGTCTTCGGTGGTGGAATTTCCAACCAACGCCTAGTCGGCTCTCTAACATGTCTATGGCTTAAAGGAGGAGCTAGCTGCAATTTCTTTCAATGTTTTTGTACGTACTCAAACAGATTGGGCTTGTAATTTATTTCTGTTGTTATGCCTAGTACGACTTGACAGTCTAACTATTTATGCTATTTCAACTCATCATTTCGTGTACCCTCCCTAAATAAAGATGCTCTATAATCAATTTGTTGATATATTGAGGATTAGTTGAGACTTCACTTAAACGTTAACTTGCTTGTAACACTCTTAATCACTTACGCTACAAACTCTTTAAAAACTCATAAGAAGTACACGTTTCAATTGGGCCGCATTTACCTCGTTGACTACGGCCTTGAAAATGCGGGAGCTTCTATAATGAGGAGGTAGAGTGAGGAGCTTATTTGATGAGGCCCATCTCACCATCAAAAGGGGTGTGGACCCCCCAATGCAAAAGGGGTGTGGACCCCCCAATGTACTTTGTTTTTGGTTGTTGATGGTGAGATTTCACCTCCTCAAATAAGCTCCTCACTCAACCTCCTCATTTTAGCCTTTCCGTGAAAATGCATAGGTCAGGGGCTTGGCTTGATTCTTCAAGGCCTCTTTATGGGTCGGGGTAAGAAAACCCACTTTTACCAAAGATGGAGTCCAGAGCCAGTCAAGAAATCGAACGGTCTTCATCAGGAGACTTTCTACTGTCTTGGTAGGTGACATCGTTGGGAAAATTTGCGGAACAAAAGGCAAAGGACAAGACCAGATTGCTCAATATTGAATATGATTAAGCAAATTTTCTTACTGTCAGCTTGGACAACGTTGGATATGATTGAGCAAAAGTTTGACAAGGTTGGTAGTTTCACTGGTGATTTCTCACTAAGGTCGTAAGAAGCACCTCTGTTCATAGTCATTTTTATTAGAAGCACAATTAAATTTTTATTAAAAATTGAACTGCTTCACTGAAAAAATACCTAGAATGTGCTTTTCTAGAAAACGCTTTTATGACCTATAAGCAATTTTAGCCATTCTAAAAACAGTCACAAATCTTGTGGCCGAGGTGAGTTAATCTTGGATATGATTGATGACAAGATCAGATCACCATATGATTGAAAATGCCTTCTAAGGAGATTATTAACTTGGGAATACATGGTTGCATTTCTTTTCCAACAGTTTCTTAATTTGTTAGAATTTGTTAATAGAACAGAGGAACTAAAATAATTTTGCTTAAACAATCCCCTGTTGTATTATTAAGCGCTAGTTGATACTCTAGTGACAGAAAACAAATACCACTAAGCCAGAAGACGCCTCTAAAACATGACAAGCATATCCGGATCAGCAAGATTTGTATCCAACTTTGTCAAACATGCATATCTTGTTACCTTTACATTAATTAGTTTTTCCTTTTTCTGTTTTAAGGTCGTTGAATTACTTAGTTAAATGATCTAAAATTATATACCAGGGTCTTGATGCATATATATACGGCAAAACAGTGTCACAAGCATGTTTCAAGAGATTGGTGCAGTATGTATATATATATACCATAATCAGGCAGCCCAGGCATATATCCACATTGCCAGACATTTCATCTTTTATGTCACGGTACATCGCGAAGTGGATCTTTTACACCTCAACTTACCCATTTCTTTCATCTAAGAATATATATCCACATTGCCAGACATTTCATCTTTTATGTCACGGTACATCGCGAAGTGGATCTTTTACACCTCAACTTACCCATTTCTTTCATCTAAGAATTCCTCTTTGATCTTTTGGTTGTTCTTGATTTGTTTACTCCTGATGAGGGGGAAGAAGAAAAATTGTAGCACATCAGAAATTGTAATCTGCAGCTCTTATATACTAAATAAAATCAGTGTAAAAGGGTTTGTACATACCTCAAGAGGACTTGTGTTTGAAGAACTGGAATTTGCTTCAACTGGCGCCTCAGAAATCCTTGCCTCTGATTTTTCATTTGAATAGCTGGCAAACAGAAATTTTGAGCCATGTTAGACATGAAATCTACGCAAGAAATGATAAAATGATGCTGCAGCCCGACAAATACCCAAGTTTAAGCTTTCCCAAAATATTTCATGGTGGAATCTTTTCCTATAGAAATTGAGAGCAAAACAAAATGTGGCCTAAAAGAGCGACCAGACCCTTCCAAACCAGACTCACTCTATAGAAAAAGCAGCAATATATATAGTAGACACTTTTATCTGCCACATATTTGGACATCATATATACCTCAAATTTGTTAGATTTTTTAAACTAAACCAACTTTTATCTATATATATAAAGCAAAAGGCAGAGAATGGTGAAACATTCAAAATACCAGAAAATGCCCTTGATTAATGCAAACATTAAGAATTGAAATTATTAATTAAATGAGGATAATATGGTAAATTCATACTTTTTCATATTAAAAAAAATTAAAATTAAAAGAAAATTCAGATAATGGATCCTATTTTTATGGAACACAACTACTCATTATCTTTTTTACTTCTAAAATAAATTTAAATTTTTTTTAAAAAAGCCTCTCGCAAGCGCGGAAGCGCGTGCGAAGAGGCTAGTATGAAGAAAATATCAACTACAGTGCACAATTTTGTTCTGCCAGACAAAACCGTTTCTTATATGCACCAAATAAGGAAGAAAAACAAGAATAATTTTAGTGAGGGTAATTATTTAGCTCTGGCTTTTAGGAGGAAAGAAAGTCATGATCTTCAATCTTTTCTGCTCATTAGTGAAAAATACAAATAATCAATATTAAATACTTACGTTGATAGTATAGTCACCCAGATCAACTCTACACAGTCCACCCATAAGAGCCTTTGTTCGACAGGGATCACACCATAGGTAACAAGATGCGCAAATGGCCAAAGTTTCCACCCAGCCTGACAAAGAAATTACATTCCAGAAAGATGTCAATGGTCAAACAATTACACGTTCTTTTAACCCAAACTTTAAACAAGGAATATATAACTGCTAAAGCTAGCAGTACTTCTGACACATGACCCGGACCATAAAAAATAAGCACTTTCTATTTCTCTAAATAGCCCTGCTTTTCCTTACAGTGTCTTTTAGACTTTAGGAAGGTAAAACACATGTTTGGGAGTTCAGGAAGGAAAAGGCATTTCAGAGTTTAGTGTTGACAAAGTTTTTCTCAGCTGGACCATATATGCACTGATTGCTGAGCCAAGACCAGTTGCAAAGCAAACATTATTGTCTAAAACTGGTTGCCAAGGTTAATACTACATCGCAGCAAGAAAAAACAAAGTTCAAAACTACATGGACAGGAAACAGCTGACACAAAATACAAATGCCAATACATAGTCGAATGCACAAACATTATTTGATTGAAAAGTAACAGAACCATGCTCCAAAAATCGAATAAAACTAGTTGATAAAAGACGCCAGACGATCCTGGCTTTTCAAATGCCCACAAGCTAGAGGGCATGAAATGAGAATCAATTAGATTGCAAGTAATTTTACTCTAAACAGTCAACAGAGCATGAAAAGGTGGTACTTTTTCTTATAAAAAGGCAGAAAGTTCTCTTACAGTCAGCATGGGCCAGAATGTCGCTTTCAGTTCACTAAAAATATCAATGGGTGATTCGAAACGCAAAAATCCCAAAACGGTAAAGTAAATGCTGTTCCAAATTGCTGCCCATACAGTTTGGTCGAAGGCTACTTTGACAGGAACCACCCACCAGTCTTGGAATGGAAAAAGCTCCTGAAACAAGTTTAAGTTGGTTGAGGAACCCCAGGAATATTTTTTTTAAATGTTAAGTTCTAAAAATAAACAACTGCAGAAGAAATTTACCTCGCACAACTGGTAATAGTAGTGAGAGAGGGAACCATGGAGAGTAAATCCAACAAGACCTGACCTGAGCATTCGTGTACGATCGAACTCAAATAGAGGTTTTCCTTCAAAGCACTACAAAAATTATAAGACAAGCATTATGCACTGTCAAGGACAAACTTCACCAACTGGAAGACTCAAATAGTTTTAATTCACAACACCAACACACCTGTGCAATCCAATCCCCTACAGAATACACCACACCACTAATCACCATTTTGGCTAAAACTGGGTTAGTCTTGAGAGCTTCCTCATAAGCACTCCAGTTGTGTTGAGGTGCATATCTTAGGATCTCAAACAGAGTCCAACCCTGAAAAGAGTAACAACACATAAATCCCCGCAGACAAATTGATACAAGGGCAGTGCACATGGACATAGAAAATCATAAAATCAAGAAATTCAAATCACAAATCGCAACCTATAATGAAATTTTCTAAATATAACTACGAACTAATTGGACCGAACCAAACATATTGCTTCATACCACTCTAACCATACGTGACAAGGTCTCTTCACTAAATTCAACTTAAGAAAATGCAGCAATCTCCTAGTCCCCCACCAAACTCTCTTATTGTCTTTTTTTTTTTATTTTGTTTCAGCATCACAAGCAACTAACTAATCTCATCTTCCATCCCTTGCCATTATATGTCCTTGTTGCTCCCGTGATTGTTATTCTACAGTGCAAAACCATCCCTGATTTGAAATAACATTTCCAGATCATGTTTCCTATCGGATTTAACAAGTTTGAATAATCACAATCCTTCAAAAGCAATATCCACTTCATTATTTCCATGTAAGTTAAAGAATTTCTCTTCACTCTTGCCTCCTCATGAATGATCATATAAAGACAGCAACAGCATTCACTTCATTAATTTGACTATACAGCATCAATCCACGACAAAGGATGCCCCTATAATTAGAACGTTTTCACACATTTATCATAAGACAGGCGACCTGCCCAACTTCCACGATAAAAAATTGAAAATGCTTGACCTTCGTACTCCAACTTCCAAGAGCACAAACTCAGAGAAAAAAGCAATGCAGGCAATTGATAAAAGCTCACTATCAAAGCGGCTAATGTTAATTAACAGAGAATGATAAGCAACCTAAAAGAACCAGAATGAAAAGAAAAAAAACGAACAGAACTAATCTAAGAACCAACTTCACCTCAAATTCTCACACAGCAAGCCACAGAACACTAGAATCATACATTGAACAAAACCAAATCACATGGAAATAAATAAAAATTCAATTAAATACTAAAGAGCTTGACTCACATGCCAGTAATCCTGATCAATAGTGAGCAACTTAGTGATAGCAAAAGTACCAGCTGCGAGCACAATAGTGGCATTGATAGTCCTATCTACGAGCCTCTCAAATTCCTCACTCTCCCTCTCATTTCCAACCCCAGAAGACCCAAACCCACCAGCCCCTTCAAAGGAAAGCCTTCCCTCACTTGCTCCGAACACACCTACCTGACTCGCCAACTCGCCCTCCACACCTTCACACTCCACCCTGCACACAGCCATCCCTTCCTGCTGGTCCGTACAGTCAGTGCTCTGAACTGGGATCACATCACACTCTTCTTGATCAACTAGAGACTTCAAAACCCACCTGTCTTTCCGTTTGTTTCTCAGGAAAGTTTGGTTCTTTGAGAGTTTGGAGCTGCAGAGATTGGAGCTTAAGATGGGTTTTGGGTGAGCATTAGTGGGTTTTCTGGGTTTGGAGTTTGGGAGAGGGAGGAAGCTCTGGGGAGCTATGGAGTGGATGGAAGCCATGGCCGTTGCTGAGACTGAGTTGGGAGAGACCGAGTTGAGTCTAAAACTTTGTATCTGCCTATTTGTTTCTCCGCTTTGGAACGGAAAGACGATTGGTTTTAATACGGTAGTTGCCCATTTGTGGTGGGGGTTATGATCATGTGTTTTGAAGTGTATGATTTTACTTTCGTACCACCGTCTGATTTGAAGGGTACTTGGATATGAACAGTGATTAAGGGTTTTGAGTCTGATCATTGGTAGAAGTAATGGGGTGTAGAACGTTATTGTGAGGTGTGGTGTTGAAGATCTTGATTTTTGTGGGTGAATCGTGATGAAATGCAGTCCACATAAGAGAGGTGATTGTTTAATAATAATAAAAATTTCGATAAATTAATAAATTCACAAATACGAACGCGTGGAAGTGGACCTTCGCATTTCTACTGGAAACGGTGTCGTAGGATCTTATGCAAGCAAGTTATACAACGTCGGCCTGGTTGCCAAAATAAAAATAAAGTAATATTTAAAATATATATATATATAAAAATTCAAACTTGAAACCTAATAAATGCATGATTTGGGCATAGGTCCTTTTGAGCATTTAAAATGATTTAAAATCCCTCATATGTGTATGTGACACATAGCTCGCTCTGTCCATTCAGTCGATATTAATAGATTGGTCCTTGATTTATAAATGTTAAACAACTACATGAGTAAAATAATCAAAGTTAGTAGACATGGGCTTCGCCAAGTTAGTTAGAATAGATGTACTATCTGTTCTGCATTTGAGTTCGAATCCCCATTTTCGTAATTTAGATTAGATTAAAATAAAATATCGTTTGTATAAAAAAAATCAAAATTAAAATCATAAGGACCTTAGTCAAAATGGGGCTAATCAAACCAAGGTGGTTGGTGTGAGTGGTTCGGCACTCTCATTCCTTTAGAGAGGTCAGGGGTTCGATCCCTGCTCTCGTATGGAGTCACCACTTTGGCTAACACTTTACCCCTTACGGGCCGACCCGGTGTGAGCGAGGATTAGTCTGAATTGTGGTTAAAGCTTAAAGGTGTCATCCATAATTGGGACCCATCCAGGACCACCTCGCGGTTCAGATAAAAAAAAAAATATGGGGCTAATCTGTTATGTAGATTTGCCTTTTTCCAATATTAAAAGCTCGAATTTCTTGGAGAAATATTCAGCGGACATTTTATTATTTTCTACGAGATTCTTCAAGCCGAAGAATCACTGTGTGGGTCCCCTGTGTTCCAGCAACCATTTTTCAATCCATTAGTTATTCACATGGGCCCACGAAACTAGCCCAGCCACTCTGGAAATGAAAGCTACACATCTGAAAAAATCTCATACCAATGATTCCAGATAAATCTTTCGTATTCCAGAACAAAAAAAAAGAAGATAAATCTTTCGTACAATTAATTCTAGATAAATTTGCAAAACATTATTTGGCTGCAATTTTGTATGCCAATCGAGTTTTCATGGTCATGCTTAAGACAAATTACATGTTCTTGTTTGTTTGTTTTTGAATTATTTGCTATATAATTCATGGTATATGACTTTTCCACTTTTGTGTGGTTGATCCGAGAAAGAAGCTCACTTTCAATTAGTTCGAAATATTTGTCTTTTTATTTTTTGGTCGAATAAAAAATATTTATCATTTGTTGTATGTGGATGTGGTCGGCAAGGCAAAGCCACACGTTATGTCAAGGAAGGAAGGCAAGGGAAGCCACATCATGCGGCAAGGCAAGGCAATGCAAGACAAGCCACACAATGTCAAGGGAAATCTAAGATACAACGTTGAAATACCAAGTGTTGCGTCGCTAGCATGGACTTCCAAAACTCAGTTTTTCTGGAAGAATAGGATAAAAAGTTTGAGAAAAAAAATTAGAGCATTGTCCAGCCAACAATGGTAAAAACAAGAACCAAAATTAATGCTCTGCCAAATCTTTGAAGACGGAAGAAAATGGAAACTTACTAGATAGAAGAACAACAATAACAGTTTTCAATTTTCACAGGAGAAACTCGAACTTCAAATGGAAACAGCATAATTTAAGTGGCACATGAAACCAGAAAGAAGAAGAAAAAAAGATGCACAAACTTGACAGCACAACCTGCACCAAGAAAATCAGGCTGCTACATTCTAAAATACAACAAATACAAAGAATGAAAGGGAGTCGTGATTGACAAGAGAGCAAATCACTTCTCATCTGGCAACACAAGACGATCTTGACCTTCGATCAGCTTTGCAGATCGAATCACATCTCCTGTTTTTATCTGTGAGAGAATATCTCTCCCAGCTGTTGCATATCTGCGTATTTATACATGTATAATCACTAATTAGCAAAAAGGAAAAACCCTGCATATTTTTTATCCAAACCCTGAGTTTGGTTAACTACAAGAACAGTTTAGGAATAAAAAAGCACGTACCCAAAAACTGAGAATTCTCCTTCATCAAAAGATAACCCTCCCAAGCCAGCCTATAAGATAAAGGTACATGTACATCAGATGACACATAAAGGAAGAAGAAAACAACAATGTCACTGTAAGATGGAAGAATCATGAAACATCTGATGGATTTGAACTTCTAAAATTTAATGGTTACTCTAAAGCTTTTCAGAACCCCAGTTCTTTGATTAACTTAAACTTACATTTCTTTTATCATAAAGATAGAAGAAAAACTGATACGGCGATGAGTGCTCCTCATTGACTTCACTATGCGCCATAGCAACAGCTCCATAAACAGATAGTGGAAGAGTTGGCAATTCCCCATCCTTCCATGAGGGGAAGAACAAAAAACAAAAAGTAAATGTGAATCAACTATTCAAAATAATTACGTGCAGGAAAATCATTTTGTTGATCACAATTGATGGAGTTGTAATAGTATAAAGCATAAAGATACCTGCACATCTAATTTTGTTCTGTACAAGGGCTCAAATTGCCCAGATGGCTTTATCTCTAGAGGAACACTATAACCATTGCTCTTGTCAAGACCGTTGTCTGAAAGAACAGCTTGGTCGGTAGAGCGGAGATTTGCCCCATTGTATGCCTCATCAATTACCTGAAGAAATGCAAATTTTGATTGTTTAAGCACGCTTCACCGAGGTAAATTCACATGAAAGTCACAAGCACTATTAGAACCAAAGACTCAAATTTAGATAGCATCGTTATGAGAAAATTGGAAGATAAAGTCACATTGCTCAGCCTCTTTTTCTGGCCACTTCTAGTTGATGTTTGGATGAACCACAGCGGCGATGAAGCCAAAATACAAGAATAAGCAACATTCATGCACAGAATATAGAAAATTTCATGAGGCCAATGTGAGGTTCAACTACCTTACCAGTTTTGCGAAATTCCCTGCTGTTAATGGTGCTGAATATCCATCTATAACGACCTGAGCAAAAGTTAACGATCAGTTTACATCAAATTAATAATACTGGCGATCAAAATTCATTTTTTTCTATAATGATCAACATTAAGTACGTATTTTCACACAATTGAATGTTGCTTCCAATAGTCGCCTGTGGGTGCCCAGCCCAGGCATCCATTTTGGATACTAGATACTGGTCTATTCATTGCCATGCTCCGCACTCAGAAATCAAATACTGTAGCAGGTATATTAGGTCTCTCGAGTCTTGATAGGGTGAAAATATTTTTCAAATAACACTATTAACAAAAATACTGACTCATTCATTAAGAATCTGAACACGACGGAACTTATCCTAAAGATGAAAAAAAAAAAAGAATAAAAGCATAAGATCATCATTTTTCTATAAAATCTGAGATATGTTATACCTGAATTTTGGCAGTCTTTCTTGGTTCACCACCGGCTTCAGGAGAAAATGTTGAACCATCACCTTTCTCTATGGTCAGTTCAACAGTTCCTCTCCCTGTCAGCCTACAAGTATTAAAAGAAAATATTGATATTCTACTTACAGCACAGATGATGTCATTGCAAAGCCTATTTATCGCACATGTAGAGGTCATTCAAACATAGGTTTGGTAAGTCAGTTGTATGTCAAAGAGAGAGCGGAACATGGAGACCAAACTTCAATCTCAAACATATACCCAATTCTAAACAAATTATACAAGACTGATATGAAAGACAGATGGAGTCATAATTTAACCCTTGTAAAACAGACCAATACAGTTTCCCTTGGACATCCAGAAAACTCATATATATTTCAAGTTTGTCCCTTTGCATCATTGTACTCCATAGTCTAGGTATCCATGCTACATATAAGACAACCAGCTCCAAAGAACCCACTTCAAAAGTTTTAGACAACCACTGGGACCTGAGGGATGGATGGGCCAACAATACATATCAGGCTAACACCCTCCTTTACACACAACCCATCCCGGACATGGAGAGACAGAGAAATACAGATAGAAACATAGGTGCATCCCCATCCTGCACCTTGCAAATCAGCAAAGAAGTGGGGAATGGGGATTACAGGTTTCAAACCTAGGATCTTCTGCAATCAGAGATCTGATATCGTGTTAGTCTTAGACAACCACTGGACCCCAACTTAAACTATTAGGGATTGGACCGAGAATGCATATCTAGCTAACAAAAAGATCATAACAGCTACATTATCAAAATTCAAAATGATTTTTATGATGGCTAATTTATCAAAATTTGAATTATATATCTACATATGTTTGTTAGAGAACTGTTTGACATGACCAGAACTAAAAAAGTTTAATTTTTGTAATTCAGTGGAATGAAATATCATCCCCCAGAAAGAGAAAGAGAGATCATTTAGGAAAAAAAAAACCTATTGAGACAGATCTGACCTTGGGTATCTCTGGTATTGCTCAGGTAACAAAAATGACAAGCCTGGAGCCTGTTGAGAAGAATCAAATATCAAGTTGTGATTTTAGACATGTCACATTGTCCTAATAATATAATTAACTCCCACAGGCAAAAGATAATAAAAATGCAGGTTGCCATATAGCATGACTGCAGCAGTAATTTTCTAGGAATTATATATAGAATCATGCTATGCTTTTGATGAGGCTTCCATATGTTGATTCCGTTATATATATAGTTATTTGTATAAAAGAGTAATCCAATGGTATAAATTGGTTGTATTACCTGT